AGATGTTATGACAAATACATATTTGTCACAAGATTACCTTTTGCTATTAATATTGTACCAACTCAAGAGCCTATTGTGCAATACCACTTTAACTGATACCCTGTCAAAACATACATGCTCTGTGAAAACTGAACTGATTAAAGTATCTTGAAGAAAGCAAAACATTGTTGTCTTCAATATAATAAAAATGTGATACTGTCCATTCAGTGACATATTATCGACAAATCACCAACCAGACTGAGTATTCAGAACTCTTTTCATTAAATTCATTCTGATACCTGTTTGAAAGCATTTGAAGTGTATGGAGAAATGTTACTGCACAGAAAAGTAGCGCATATGCACACATACATAAAATACAATTCTAGGAAATTTTACATAATTTAGCTTCTATTATATATAAAATAACTTATAATAAAAGTAAAATGACACAAAATGCTTTAAAGCTGTATAAAATACACTAGCTTTGTAAACAATACTGTAGAATTTGGATGTGTATTCAAAGTTTTCACCAATAGATGGCAGAAATGCACAAGACAACCAACAAAATCATTGCAAATGATTGCAAATTTGAGGTGCTAAGAAAGGGATAGTTTTGAGACCTGCGGATGCATCAAAAGACAGTAAATGATTATAAAATTTTGGAGGTCATAATTCTTCTCTTAGAATGGTATCCTTACAATTTAGTTACAGAGCACTACTTTGTGTCAGTGCAACTGAGGTACCGCTCTTAAGTTCCATTAAAATATATACGCTTTCCAAAAGGAATAAAGTATTCTGAAGATTCAGATATGGTTTCAGGCTAAGCTCTTCTGTAGAGGTTACATCAAATAAGTTTACAGGGTATTGAAACAAATGTTGTTTTCACATCACAGATTTTTAACTAAAACTTCATCTTGAAGCACACCTACTGGATAGACAGGAGGCATTAACACCATCAGCTTAACTATCTTACTAAGACACAATGTTTTTTTCTCCAAAGCCATCTATTTCTTTCCACAGAGGGAAACCAATTTCATTCTCCAACTCACAAAGATAGCTGAATGCCTGCCAGAGATGTTGGAAACAGTCTTCTCAGACCAGGAATTGATACTGAGACCATAAGCCTTATCCAAAACTACTTGAGATGTCTGTAACGGGACCTGGATAGAATTTGACCAAGGAATGGAAAAAAGGATCCCCTCTCTTCCATTACTATGGGAAACACCAGACAAAGAGATTTGTTCTCGATGCTGTGCATGTGTCTACGTTTGCATCTGTTGCCTTTTCCCCACTGTAAATCTTGAATTATTTTCTGAAAAAATAGCATGGCTTGAGCAGCAGCTTAGACTAAAGGGGACGTCAGAGAAGAAGGAGGATGAAAAAATCTTACTATTAATAGAATGTATTAGGAATCAAACAGTTTCTATCACTTGAAATTTTGTACAGTAGAATAGATGAAGCACTGAAAGCACATGGTCAGGAAAAGGAAAAGGACTGTTTAATAGATCTTTTCCATCTAAGTATCTGCACAAATGCTACTGATTCTAAAACAGTGTTGGAAAAATGTCAAGGGGATCTAGATGCAAATGAACATCAGTAAACACACTGATGTTTGTACAGTTTTAAGTAAAAGCATGAGAAATTTTTATACCGTCAAAGCAATGTATACCACTGAATTACAGAGTCATTAAAATTTTCTTCCCTTTCTCCACTCCTCCCCAATCTTTCAATAATATAGATAATTCCATGTGCCAGCTGTATTCTGCTCCTGTACTTCCTTTTCTTATGCTACCCTATGTTAGCAAAAATGATACCCTAGAAATCCTTTCTAAAGGATTTATCAAATCTAAAAATCTGGTATTTTGCAGGTTTAAAGTGCTGTTGTGCCTTCACCTGTAGATTAGACAGTGAATGCCCTACCATGCCAAGAAACCTTTTGATGGAAAAGCATAATCTATCTTGCATATTGAATTTTGTTTGCATATTGGAATCTAGGTGGAAGTTTAGATTTGAAACATTATCAACGAATACTGATGGCAATTCCATTTCTATACAGAGTTTTGAGATACAAAAACCATTTTATGACCAACAATGCAAAAGAGTACAGGGAAAGTGAAAGGCTTCACATACTAAGAGTTATTTAATACCCAAATGGTGACATTTCCGAACTAGCATAAGAAAAGGAAAAAAACAACTGGCTTTCCACTATAGTACATTAAAAGATGATACATTCAGACCACATGTCCTCTGCTATACTTCACATCTTTCTATCAGCATTTTGTGCTCCGAAGGCAAAGTTTATTTTTGATTTAGGATGGTTTGGGTTTTTAAATACTGTTTTAACTGTGTGTTCATACTTAGTTTAATGTCAGTTAGCTAAACCAGGACAATTCTTGTGGAATCAGGAATTCAGGGAGCCACATTCTGGTGACTTTCATTTTTTCTAGTACTTAGACGAACTCAGCAGAGCTGACTGACATGAATCAATAGTGAAATAAACTGGAAACACCCTGATGAACAATACAATCCAGACAATGTATTGTATTTGGGCTCCTAAATGATCTTGAAATTTAAGGCATATAGAGGAATCCTGCTTAATCAGTAAGAAATTCTTAAAGCACGCAAAGAATTATTGGGATACCCTGAATTCCGAATCTATTAAGTGATTATCACATTGCCTAACATTAAGCACTCCCTATTTACTTGCCTCATTAGGCTAACCTCCCTGTGATTCCTATTTCCACAGGGACATTGGCATAGAAACCAGAATTCGTGTTCTGAATCACCCTCTGCACAAAGATACATCACTCAATTACAAAAATCATATAAAAAGAAAAGGAAAACTAGACATCTAACATGAAGCTGTAAATAATATGGTCCAAACACCCTCCTTTCCCCTCCACTCATGCTCCCAATTCTGCCACTGTATTACCTACAATTATGTCCAAAAGTATTTAAGCTCCACAGGGAGAGTAAATTTTGCCATTTTTTTAAAAGGCATTTTCATTAATACACTTCAGTGTATTTGCTTAAAATACTTCATCACAGCATCTCAAAATAATAATTTGCTGATCTAAATTACAGCTATGTCAGAGACCCCAATAATTCACCTTTTTGAATTAGTGAATTATTTCACTAAGGATGATTTTCCTTAAAGTGAAAACCCCGTGGGAATAAACACAGTGGAAGCAGGTGCAAAGCTAAAACATTGTAAATACATCATTCCTAAGATGACTACGTAAAAAAAAAAAAATAAAAATCCATCCCTCAGCAGGTGATAAATGTCTCAGGAGGATTCCATGAGAAAGCAGGTAAAGTGGGACTATAAACAAGAAATCAAGAAAAAGTGATACTGGTGTAATTAAGAGTGATGGAAATCCTTTCAGCCCTATGAATAACTATAAGTACAATGCTTAACGCTGCCTAAAACCAACATAAATCTTGTAAAAACTATCCAGCAAAAACTGCTAAATGGGCAAACTCTCACATTATTCCTGTTGGTACTGCTAGTTAGTTTGCTGTGTCACCATAAGCCAGTCAATTATGCAGTCACTTTCACAATGGGTATTCATCTCAAATAATTATCTCTCTGCCTCATTTTCCTAATTTTGCAGTTTTGCTATTTTCTCATTTCATAGTCCTTTTCTATGGACCCTGTGATTCTAGTTTTTGCTCTTAGATAGCCTTCATCTCCAATGATTTCAATCTCAAAGTTCTGGGAAACTCTGATATGTCGCATTCAGGTGTGAAAATACATCCCTTTAATTCACATAACGCAAAGAATCTGGCATTGAGTTATAGCTAGTGAAACTGGCAATTCCCATTTAAGCATAAGCTTGGTTTTTATTTACGTACCTTCTTTTTTTATTTGATTTCCTATCATAATATGGAACTGTATGACATTTTCTCCTTCAAAAAGCATTACTTCATTTCACATACACAACAGAAGTATACAAAGACGACAGTAATCATGAGGATCTGTAGTGATCTTCTCTGGATGTTTTACTGCTTTTTTTTCTTTGGAATACTAATAACCACTGATGTATATATAGTATGAACTCTAACATGGTTATACATTTATTAATGTCTTTTCATACAACAGTAATTCACCGATAATTTTTGCATCTTTGCCCTTCTGTATCAAGTTGAAAATATTATAATACTATAAAAGACCATCTGTTACATTTTCCTTTCCATGCGAAACATTTAAGATGACCACTTTCTTCGGAGTGCCTGTATTTCTGGAGAAACGGATTGTCAAATTTTGAAGTTTCGTGTTGTTGAAAGATGTGGCGCTCACCAAGTATGCCATTTTTAGGAAGTTTTCCCTCAATGAAAACTCCCAAATTTTAACTTTAATTTTACTTAACTAAAGTCAATATACAATTTGTACAAGAAACGTCATATGCCACATTATGGGTGTTCTTGAATTGATTTATTTTGTCTGCTCTGCTTCATTTTGTATTCCCTTTTACTTGTGGCGTATTCTTTTCTAGTGCATTCCTAGCAGTTCTACACAGCCCAGTAAGTGTTTAAACAAATCTTCCAAATCTGTTGTTTCAGTGGACTTAAAATTTAGCTATAATGGCTTAAAACATGAAGAAAATTTGTTGATTTCATTGTTGACAATGATTCATGACAATCCGGTTCAGTGAATAAATGGTGTGGATCACCTGTTCAGGTTGTAAGCTGAGATACGTACATCAAATTCATAGTTAAAAAAAGAAAAAAAAAACAACAACAAAAATACCAGCCTCCTGTTACACAGTACTTCAAACTGGAGTTCACCACCACTTAACAGTAGGAGATTATATTAATGAATCAAGAACAAAATGGACTTAGTAACTGCTTTTTCTGACATAACGCACCTGCCTACTGAAATAGCAAATTCACTGTAAAAACAACTTTGGTAACATTCTTTTGCTTATGCGTTGTCACACGATGAAGAAATTCTCCATCAAAATGTGCAAAGTTTAAGTATTTTTATAACAACTATTAAAAGAAAAAACTATTTTACTTACCAAGCCAACTTCTGTTTAAATAGACTGACACAAACACTGGAGGGACCGTGAAGAAATCTACTACTGAGTTAACTTCTAGCCAAAACCATAGCTTGTCATTGGCTATTATGAACTGAAAAAAAAAAAAAAAACCCAACAAGATGGGGAGGGATGAAAGAATTGGATTATGCTGATAGTGGTTGCAAGTATGTGCAATATTTTCCATTCTAAAATATTAGACTCCAAAGTTAGTGGAGAATTAACTGATGTTTTCTATCAGTCCAGACAAAACAAGTCTCACTGGAAAGAAGTCTGTATTGGGCATTGCTTGATAACCACATTGAGATTAAAATGAAAGGTCTATCTAAAGAGACAGATCATTTATATGATGACTTGTAATATCTGTGCTAAAAACATTTTCTCCACATTTATTAACAATGTATCAGCAATATTAGAAAAGTGTAGGTAAGTAGAAAATATTTCAATGTATATCACCTTCGCTCAGGCACACCAAACGTTGGTAGTAGTCTCATCATGTATTTTCTGTTCATAGGTCTCTAAATACATGATAGTTTACAAAGAGTCCCGCTACCAGTCACCAGCATGACTCCTACAAGGCATAATTCAGGACTGCAGCAGGACTTCAGTCCTTCAAATCGTGCCAGGGATGAGGTCATTTCTCTCTCCTGACTACGAAATCAGCCTAAGGAAACTGGCAAACTTACAGGCCAAGGACATCATAGTTTGAACTTGCCTATTCATCTATGTGCTTAAATAAGGTCAAACTACTATTCATTTTCAAGTAATAATTAAAACACATGCTTTATACAAATACGAAATATAAATATACAAATAAATTCAAAATTTTAGTGCATAACAAAGATATTTAACAGAGTGGTTTTACTCACATAAGACTTCAAACCTGGACTAACGTATTTGTAAACAGTGCTTGTATTTTTTCAATTACAGACAATATCCATTGTCTTTCTTCCAAAGCAAATACTGACATTCTCTAACGATTCCATTCACTTAATTTCCTTGCTTTAGAATTACTTTAAAACTTTAACAGAAAACGTTTACACCAACTTTGCTGGAATCCCAGATAAAATATTGGAAAGGGGACTCTACTGATGTCAAGAATGTTGAAATCACACTTAAAAAGAAGACAGACAACATGAGCAGCATTTGCCTCAGAGAAGACTCAAAACCAAAAATAAATTAACATTTTGGTAGCCTGTATTACTCAATATCAATGCTCCAGC